AGTTAAACTGCAGGAATGTCTTAAAGACATAAAGACCTGGATGGCCGCTAACTTTCTTTTCTAAGCCAATGATACATCAGTTGCCACACTCTATACCAAAGACATCAGAATGTCCTTCAGACTGAAGAAAATGTAGTGAGATGATAAAAAGGGGGAAGGAAGGCAGTCACAACTGAGGAGATCCAAAGATCATGGAAGTATAAGTACAGGCACTAAGCACCAAGCATACAAAGGCACACAGTCTGCACATTCATATGTGTTTGTGCACCACTCTGCATTTAATCATTAGTTGTTATCGATCTCCGACCCTCTTCCACAGCATGTCTTTATCCTGTCTTCCTCTCCTCACCCTGAACCAGTTGCAGCCAATGACTGCTCTTCCCTGAGCCTGGTTCTGCCGGGGGTTTCTTCCTGTTAAAAGGGAGTTTTTCCTTCCCACTGTCACCAAAGTGCTGCTCATAGGGGGTCATATTATTATTGGAGTTTTCTCTGTATTATTATTATTTTCTAATTTCACTTTTATTTCTACAGGTAAATCTCAATGAGAAACAAGGTCTCATTTTCAAGAGCGAACTGTTTTAAATAACTATACAAAACTACAGCATATTAAAACACACTATAGTCATTCATATAACCAATTAAAATAAAAGACAGTAACAATACAATATTAAGAAACAGCCATCCAATGCTCCATTGCCCTTAGTATTTGATTAAAACCCTTCAGTCCTGTTGTCCTGTTGTAATTTGTTCCAAGCAGAGATGGGCAGTAACGCATAATCTGATTACTTCTTTCAATTAACGAATAAATTAAGGGATTACTATTGCAAAAAAAGTAATTAGATTACCGTTACTTTCCCGTAAGCATGCTGCGTTACTGCATTACTAGACCGTGATTTTGTTTGTGAGTGTCTCATGACAATGACGTGACCGCTGTGGCACCGGATAAGAAGCTGGGATAGTGTACAAGAACATCTGTGCTGCATGTGGAGGAGAAGCCTCTGATTCTTGTTGAGAACAACACAGTGGCGGTCCTGTGGGAATTCAAGCTGCAGGCCAACCAATCAGACACAGTGGTGGTTTCCAAAGACAGATGTGGCCATCCCAGTGGGCAGCCACATCAGGAGCACGCGTACTTTCTTCCCCATTCTCGTTACTCGTGTTTTGTTTTTAAATCACAAAAGCTCTGTAGTACTGTGCATGAGATGAATGGGACAGCAGTGCAGTGTCTTCAAAACTCATCTTAGAATTCACTGTTTAAAGGTTTTCTTCACCAATAAAGTGATCCAGGTGTCAGGTATCCCTTTCCTTGTCTTCTTCCTCACCTGTCCTTCGTCTTTTTGTACCTCTGTGTAAACCAAACACTAGCCCGCTTTAACCCCTGACTGTGGCACTATAAACTGTGCATAAATTATAACCCCTGGTGATCAGTACTATGATAAAGTGATGTGACAGACACATGGATGCAGCTTTGTGTCTGGTCCATGCAGCTCCACTTTTGCAGGAGCTGCACCTCTGGGTCTTTCCTCTTCTGTTGTCACACACAGACACAATCACTTCCTCTGCAGGATGCGAGCCATCAGGCGCTGCCCAGTTACACGGGAGCCTTTTGCTCACGTCCCGTGCTGACAAGGGGCAGGCAGTGTTTGATAACGCTGTCAGCGCTCTGTGCTTGTATACGTCTGTTTATCAGCCTTTTCTTTACCCAGCTCCTTTAAAGCTCCCACAGGCAGCGAACACGATGACTCAACTGTCACTCTTAAATCAGATTGCTAACAAAATGTGTCACCGTCAGCTGTGACATTAAAATGTTTCACTGTGGTCTCATCTTTTAGTTCTTTTAAATTAAGACTGCGATAAATGAACCTCTTTTCAGAGCTGTGAAATTAATTCCATGAATTTGATATTCAGTTAAATCTTTTACTGCCTGGAGATGTTCTGGATCGATGCAGGAAAACATGCTTCTGGGCCACGCGTGATCATTTTCTCTTTTATTTGCTGAAAAATGCAAACACTGAATGCACACTGACACTGACTCAAAATCTAATTTCATCCCATTTCCAAGATTTACAGAAGACTTGACCTCTGACCTTGAGGTCACTGAGACACAAACCTGTCTGAGATTGTTAGTACACACACCTGACACTGATGACAACACCCCCTCATTCTTTTACTGCTGAGGAGTAAACATACAAACGTTTCCTTCAAACACCATGCAGCAGATTGAGCAAAGATATAAAAGCTTCCATGTGCACTTGTTCGGGGCTTGAACTGACTTGAACTTAAAATCGTTCTGGTTTTTATTTCAAATTTAAATGACATCATTGTACATAGCACTGTGTGTGATTTCCTCCGAGTCTGAAAATGTGAATATATTTGATGTTTTTCTTGACAAGAACTCACATTTCAAACTGTTAGAGTTTTTCAGAGCTGTAAACACAGCAGAGCGGTGCTCACACAATGGTGACCCTGGATCGATCCACAACGGTTATAATCGCCTCAGCAGATTATTACAGGTGGTGTTAACTGCAAAACTGAATTGTGAAAGGTAAATATATTATCATGAAGACACGTTCAAAGATCTGTCTGAATCAGATGTGAGCTGTGTTCCTCCAATCCAGACCTCGCTGCCTCTGCGGTGCCTGAATGCTTATGTGGGCTGTCAGGGAACAGTGGAGGAGGGTGCTTCTCCTTAAAGACTGGATGAGACAAAATTAAATAAAGTGAATGTACAAAAGCTGGAGCGTAGACACCTACGACAACTGGATGGAAATAGCATTTGTGCGGCTGGGGAACGTTAACCCTTTCACTTCGTGTAGAATGAACACAAACATTAAACACAGATAAACATGCTGAATAATGCCGGCTTGTGGCAGCTGATTAGACAGACGTGTACTCATCTCTCATTAACCCTCTGCTGCCCCTGCCTGCTTTTTCAGAAATGATGGATGGGAAAGTATTTGTCCTTGTGTGTAATTAGGTGGCCAATTAACAGATCCAAGGTAGGGGGTTTTCACTCTTACACTCACACACACAAACACGCGTTTGTACAATTCCTCACACACCGTGTCCTTTCATATCCAGCAGTAAGAGAGAGACGTGTTCCCAAACCCAGACACCACTACTACCGTTCTCTCTCTCTGGCTTTGTCTGGCCTTGTTTCTCTGTCCAGCCAAAGAAAAATCACAAGGAAGGCTGAGAAAAAAACCTACCAAGGATTCCCTGTTGGGCCAGTTCTTCTTCTATAGAAATCAGCCGGTTGTATTTAGTCATCCTCTCAGCCCCACTTAGACCTCCCAGTTTGACATAGTGCAGGCCCAGACCCACAGCCTGAACGAGAAGAAAAGCACAGTCTGAGACACAGCAATATTTCATCTATTTACACTGCTTGTTAATCAAAATAGATGAACGGTTCCACAGCAAACGGATGGACAGTCGGGGTTATTAGTGACCCTTGTACAGGTCCAGTTTTTTATCACTTGATATTTGATCTCGTTATCTTAATAAACAATCCTCCTTGCAATTGTTACCTGAGATACTACTCATTTCCATGAGTCTGCTTAAAATGGAGTTCAGAGCAGCATCATACAATAAACTAATGGCAGTCTCTGGTTTTTGTGCA